CTTATTCAAGTATTTTAATATTTAAGAAATTAGTGACTTTCCTACTTTTTCTTCACTTCTTTCCTTTCATTTTGCAAATGCAGACTGGAACATATCATCGTAAAAGGTCGAAAGAACTCAAATGATGTGGAATGCTGCAGTTAAGAAGTGATAACCTGAATCTTTAATTGCCTCTTTCTTCCATTTTATTATGTATTATAAGGTCCCACCCACTGAGCACCACAAACAATTGTATCTAACAAGCTAAATATTTTTAAAAGAAAGCATAGAATTTTCTTGAGGCAACACATCTCCCGTGGCACAGAATTTTCCTATAGCAGAGAAGTTTACACGTCTCTTACATGCACATGTTGCACCCCATTCTAACCCACCAAATTATTCTGATCCATTCAGATCAGAATGCATCTGAATGTAGCAAATAACTTGGACTTCTACAGTCCTGAGAAGCAGTTTCAAAATCAGCTAACCGAAGTCTCCAATTATAAACAGGCTGCTTCAACTCGCTGTGGGCCAACTGGCATTCAAGACTGGTCATGGGATCCCAGGCGCAGAGGAAAATGCCGAGCCCAGTCCACACTGGGAAAAATGCTCATCTGGGTTCCGAGAACCAGCACACAGTGGGAAAAAGCACTGGCCTCTTCTGTTGACTGGTCATTTCCCTAGGACCCACAAATCAACCACTGAAATTCACTTTAGAGAAGCAAGGTTTTATAAGCTGATTCCATTTGGCCTATGGCTTGGGAAATCTGGAGCTGAGCCCTGAAAACAGACTGGTCTTTATCAAACTGGCAAATGCCTATTCCCTGGAACATACAGAAGAGAGAGTGCAATGCAGAAATATACAGGGATTATGATCCACTCTCAGTTTCACTAGGATGCACTACAGCAGGATTGTATCCTGTGGACTTGGGGAAACCCACAGCCCTAGATTAATTAGTGTTTTTTTTTTTTTATAGTAACATAGTTAAAGTTCTTTCACTGCTTGCAACCTGGCAACCTCCTGATTTCAGAGGAGTGATCTATTATTAGTTATCAACTGTTTTCTATCTCTACTTGTAGCACAAAGTCAAATTCAATTAAGAAGGCAGCAATGAGAGGGGCAACTATTAAATGTAGAAAATGAAAATAAGAACCAAAATAGCAGAGTCTGGCCATTTATCAGTTTTACTGTTTGAAGTGGCTTCTCTTCCAGGGCACTGCCTAATTTGGAAGTGGTGCTACAGAAATCAGTCAGTGATCCGTACAAGTGTTTCAGAAAGCAGAACAATGAGCAAAGAAAATGAGGGCAGATGAGTCCAGAGGGCCTGAGCTTTAAATGCTGAACCGCCCCAGAGTCTGTTACAAATGACATATCTTACAGAATAGGATTGTAATGATCATGATATGAATTAGTGTAACCAATCACAATTTGCTTTATAATAAGATAAGGTGTGGCAGTATAGTCATGAGCATAGCTGCTTCCAAGCAGATGTTTAGTTCAGTTCAGTCGCTCAGTCATGTCCAACTCTTTGCGACCCCATGGACTGCAGCACACCAGGCCTCCCTGTCCATCACGAACTCCTGGAGTTAACTCAACTCCTGTCCATCGAGTTGGTGATGCCATCCAACCATCTCATCCTCTGTCATCCCCTTCTCCTCCCTTCAATCTTTCCCAGCATCCAGATCTTTTCCAATGAGTCAGTTCTTCTATGAGGTGGCTAAAGTATTGGAGTTTCAGCTTCAATATCAGTCCTTCCAATGAATACTCAGGACTCACTTCCTTTACGATGGACTGGGTGGATCTCCTTGCAGTCCAAGAGACTTTTCCAACACCACAGTTCAAAAGCATCATTTCTTCGGTGGTGAGCTTTCTTTATAGTTTAACTCTCACATCCATACATGACTACTGGAAAAACCATAGCCTTGACTAGATGGACCTTTGTTGGCAAAGTGATGTCTCTGTTTTCTAATATACTGTCTAGGTTGGTCATAACTTTTCTTCCAAGGAGCAAGTGTCTTTTAATTTCAAGGCTGCAGTCACCATCTACAGTGATTTTGGAGCCCCCCAAAATAAAGTCTGTCACTGTTTCCACTGTTTTCCCATCTATTTGCCCTGAAGTGATGGGGCCAGATGCCATGATATTAGTTTTCTGAATGTTGAGTTTTAAGCCAACTTCTTCACTCTCCTCTTTCACTTTCATCAAGAGGCTCTTTAGTTCTTCTCTGCTTTCTGCCATAAGGGTGATGTCATCTGCGTATCTAAGGTTATTGATATTTCTCC